TGGTGAGAATTGTTTTAAGGTGTCTAGCAACCCATTTTTCCGTGGCACTTGAAAAAAAAAATAAGTCATTTTTTTGACCCACCCTAATATATATATATATATATATTTCTTACAATTGGATTGTTACAGAATTATCGAAAGAGGATTCTGATCTATAAGAAATGGAGGAAGTCGAAATCGAAATTGAGCCAACGTACGAAAATCTCTCTCCAATGTTCTAAGAGCCGAAAATTGCAAAGTCCGTGAAAACGCTGAGGTTCTACATTGTCCCTAATTGACAGGAAGAGAAAGAGAAGAAGATAGAGAGAGAGAGAGTGAGGGCGAAAGGAAAAAAGCCTTCAAGCTGGAAACTCAAACGTAAGGAAGAAAGAAGGGAAAAAGGAGAAGAAGAAAAGGGAGAAGAGAATAAGGTATCTGGAACGGCTTTGAAGTTTACGAGTAAGTCGGTGGCTCCTGCTAGTGTAATAGAATGAACGAGTAAAAGCGAAAGAAAAAAAGAAAAAGACAAAAAGAAAGAGAAAGAAAAGCATATGGCATAACAAATGGTCAGCCGTAAAACTGGCTCAGGAAAGTAAAACGACACCGGAAGTAGCTAACCAAGGAATACTCGATGTGCCAGAAAGGCTTGTGTACAAGTCTATCCTCTCGATAGCTCTCAACTTGTTCATACGTAGCAATCGTTACAATTTTTCATTCGGATTTAGGAAAGATCAATGAAACGAAGAAATTGTCATCGATCCCTATATAAATCGTGAATGAAAAATTTTCAAAGTTACTGAAAGAAAATAAGGAATTCTTTAACCGTCCGTTGTACAATGATTATTCTATAATTTTGATTATTTTTGTGGAAAATTAATGAAAATAATAAAATATCATCGTACTGAAAAATTGTAGATTAGCGTTGGTTTGAATAATAAATCAGTGAGAGCGTAGGAGAAAAAGAGGAAAAAGAAAAAGCAGAAGAAGAAAAAGGACAAAAAAGGGGGAAAGAAGGAACCATCTTGGGTTCAGCCAGATGGGTTAAAGGTGAAACGCGATGGAAGGCGCGATTCCGTGCCGGTGGATGCAAAAGGGCGCTGTTCGCGCTGTTACTGCTGCCCTTTCGGAAGCGCAACAAGTGACAACGCCGTGCAACTGCTACTGCTGTTACTGCTACTACCACTCTTACTTCCCGATTTACAGACGTCATCTGCTTTATCCAGCTAGGAGTCGAGAAGATTCGATTCCATCTACTTGAATGTAAAAAAGACAAAAATTAAAGGAAAGGAAAGTAAAGAAAAAGGAAGATAAAGAGAGAGACGGGGAAGGGATACGGGTCAGAGATCATTGACAAGGAACCTCCGTTAGCAGGGATGCCTGCTAAGATGAACTTCTTAGAAGCTATCCAAAGAAGATTATTTCCTTCTTCGTCCTTCTTATCTTCTTCTTCTTTTTCAACGTGCACTTTAACGCAGAAATAGGTACGGCCAAGTGCCCATGGCGACTTTGTCTGTTGAGATACTCGATGAAACTACGTTGGACAGAAAGACGATTGCTGAGAATCTTGGAGGATTCTTGGTCTGGTATTCCTTGGACTGTACCTTGAATCCTACGAATGAGAACAGACCTCTATTATTCGTCTGATCTCAAGACGAGCTTTGCGAGAAGAGAAAAGAAAATAAGAATTATAGAGGAATAAAAAGAAAAGAAAAATTAATAACGGTACAGAATAAGAAGAAAAGAGGATCAAAAGGATTTTTTAACACTTGTATCTTTTTAGATTTTATTTTAGTTATTTGTTTTCGATCCACCGGCCACTTTTTGTCAATCGATTAAAATTTTCTTCTCGATCTTAGTGTTACGTGTAGTGATTCGATTGTCGACGTCGTCATCGTCATCGTCATCGTCGTCGTCGTCGTAGTGGACGATGGTAACGAAAATCTCTGCTGTCGATGCTGGCGTCGCTCTATTGGGCGCCGTCGGTTCGCGTTGTGTCGTAAAACAGGCAACGGTGAAGAAATGCGTCGCAGCCCTCCTTCTTGTCTCCATTGCCAGCATCTTTTATTACACCCACTACGTCATCAGCAGTCCTCTCTCTAGGTAAGTTAAGTTTATTAATTATTTTATTTTATTTTTATTTTTATTTTTCTTATTGTTGCTTAGAAGTAGGGCAGATTTATTAGTAATTTAAGTACTCAAATATTTGTAACTTACTACAATTATTGCAATTTGCGTATAACCAGATATCTGGTTCTATTTTGGGATGGAGAGTAATTTTCGTGTCTTATTTGATTTTTTGGGTTGGTGGGTTGGTAGGATATTCAAGTTGATTTAAAATTGTATTTATATTGTTCATTATTCGAGACTTTATTGTGCAAGTACTTACACATCAGGAATATTTATGACCGAGTTATTAGTACTCTCTTACGACATCTTATTGTGTATCCAGTAGTTATCTATTTCTACTGGGTAGTAGCAGCTGTGATTTTAACCTCTTTAAGTCTATTATTTTGTCTAACTTGAGCCCGAAAAAATATTTGTTTAGACAAAAGTTACTATTTTATAAGGACCTGAAATAAGTTCTCGCTGTTTTTTACAAAATAAAAACTTTATTTAAAATATAAGGAACAAAAACGTTTTATTGAAAGTATTGCTTATGAAGATATACTAGAGACCACTTCTTCCCATCTTTCTGGCAGTATATTAATTCCGCGTTGGAAAAACGACATGTTTTTTGAGGCTATCCAAGAATCGACCCAGTTTTTAGCTTCTTCGTAAGAATGAAAACGCCGGTCAGCTAAGCCATGTGCCATCGAACGGAATAGGTGAAAATCGGAAGGGGCTATGTCAGATGAATACGGCGGGTGAGGTACAACTTTCCATCGAAGCGTTTCCAGGTAGATTTTCACTGGTTTTGCAACATGAGGCCGGGCGTTGTCATTTATAATAACAAAATCACTTTGTCGTATTATACACTGTTGTCGTATAGCGGCCGTTTTTCTTTTAGGGCTCGACTCAAACGCATCAATTGAAGTCGATAGCGATCTCCCGTGATAGTCTTATTCGGTTTGAGCAGCTCATAATAAATTACACCCTGCTGATCCCACCAAATACAGAGAAGAAGCTTTCGAACCATGGATATTTGGTTTTGCGGACGATGTTAATGCATGGCCAGGCTTAACACATGATTTTCTACGCTTTGAATTATCATAATGTATCCATTTTTCATTGCCAGTCACTATACGGTGCAAAAAACCTTTTCTTTTCTGCCGTTGAAGCAGTAGTTCACACGTGACAAAACGCCGTACGATGTCTCTTGGCTTCAATTCATGTGGCACCCAATGTCCTTGCTTATGGATCATTCCTAACATTTTTAAACGTTTTGAAACAGTTGATTTATCAACTTGTAATGTTTTTCTGAGTTCTGCTAGCGTCTGAGATCGGTCTTCATCGAGTAATTCCTCCAATTCTCTGTCTTGAAATTTTTTTGGTGCGCCAAAACGCTCTTTATAAGTAGTGCAATAAAATTCCCAGCAAATACACTTTAGTTGGCACAAAAGTAGACATTTTCAAAACTTATAAAAAATTACTTTGTTTACACTAAAGTGAACTATCATACACTGAAATTTCAAGTTAGATACAGTACTTCTTTGCAAGTGCGTTACCATTCGAAATTTCAAGCACGGAGTACTGCTATTGCCATCTTTGATGAAACAACGAGAACTTTTTCAAGGTCCTAATATTTTTTTTTTCCATTAGAAAAAAATGTTTGTTTCTTTTGAACAAAAATTTTTCTTTTAAATAATCTTGTTACTTAACGCTAAATAAAAATAACAATAATTATTGTAATAATTCTTTGCTTAAAAATTAGATAATTATGTCTTAATATATAATTTTGTAGTGATAAAAAAATAGTATTAAAAAAATATACGTGTAATCGCATATGCAAATTTTAAAGTTCGCGAGTTCAAAATTACGTAGTATTTAATTTTTAATGTTGTGGATTGTTGTTGTCTTCGTTTTCGTTATTGAAAAAATAAATCGTTGTGCAATTTATAAAACGTACATGTATATGTATGGATTTTATATAATATTCCGTAGCGCGAAAATTTTTCGATTTCCATCGAGTTTTGAATATTCCCCCCTGAAAAGCAGACGAGACAAAATCTGTAAACGTGGCCGCGTATGTTTCGCTCATTTGCAAGTAAATTGCTCGTTTGCAGATTCGCGTACGAATTGTATGTATGATTTTAGCATCGCCCACCAGTAGCGGACTGGTCTTTCAAAAGGTAGTATGGAATACATACTCTGAAACAAGTATACAATTGAACGTTCTGTGGAGATTTTGATTAAAATTACGCGACTATACGAAATCGAATTGAATTCGGACAGAACGAACGAATATTATCTATAAGCGTAGATAAAAATTTACAATGGACGACTGCTGACAATTTTTTCGATTAATACAAATGTTGGAGAGAAAAAGAACGAAAAATAATCGATCTCTACATTTAAACATTTACATGCTTCTATCTATTTATTTAATTCCGAATGTATTTTTGAGTAATTTTCTTTCGGTCAGTATTCTGTTAAATAAATAGTATAATATAAATAATAATTTTATAAATATTTATAATAAGTATTGTATTAAGTTTACATATCGAAACGAGTATTTTATTACGAATATTGTTTCTAACAAAAAAGAAAAACGTTATAAAATATTAAATAACAATATTTTTCAGTATTTATAATCAATTTTTGTGTCAGTGTTTACCACAAAAAATATACTAATATTTTATTACAAATACTAACCGAAAAGGAAAAAAAGAAAGTACTCCCAAATTAATTAATCAAATTAAACAATTATTTGAGAACACTGTCGGTTGTTTATTTGGTATCGCTCGCTTGTAGCAATTAATAAGTTTCTCAAGAGGAGTTTATTAAAAGGCTTATTAAGAAATCGTCGTCTTTTTGCTTGATAATTTTAATTGCCACGTGTCCGAGCGAAGCAAAGCAGATCAATTACGAGCGTAGTGCTTCCCCGTTCTTTCTGACCGTTAACCAGTTTGCAACAACTCCAAAACTTAAAACCACACACACGTATGCACGGACATACAAATACACACAAACAAACAAACATGTAATATAGAGATAGAGAGAGAGAAAGAGAGATATATTGACCTATCGTCTGGGACGGTGGTTGCGTGCGACGTTATTTCCAGTTAGCGTCTAAAGACATTTCTACATCGTCAAGCCTCGTAAACTTCATGCAACTTTGGTACGCGACCACTAACACAGGCGTACCAATTAACGTATTCTCTTGACGTTCACGCCCCCCCCCTTCTTTCGTATCTATCTTTCTCCTTTTCTCTTTCTTCTTTATTCTTTTTTCCTGTCTTCCTTCTTTTTCTCTGTCTCATTTTCTTTCTCTTTTATGTCTCAATGACGTGTAGCTCCCTTTCAACGTCGAGTGACCCCTGCCCAGCGGTCAACCGCCTCTTTCTTTTGCATCCTTCTCTCCTCATCATCGTGTTTTTATACATGGATGAAAAGAAGACTAACCCCTCCCCCACACTACATTTCACTCTTCTGTAATAAGTACACGTCGACACCCGTAGAAAACGTCTCGTCGCCTCTATATTAAAATAGGCGATATGGGATAGAAAGAAGAATGGTAAAAATAGTCAAATGTTTATTAATGTCAGTGTTTTTTATAAGTATTTTGTCCATTAAATTGTCTATAAATATTTTCAATATAAATAATTAATGGTCTGTATAAAATCAAGTTTTTATTAAATATTCGGATTGAGTATTTACTTTAAAATAAATGGACAGTATGTGTGAATATTTTAAATACCAATAATTAAGAATTAATATCACATCACGTTTTTATTAAATATCTTGATTAAGTATTTTTTTTTTTTTTTAATAAACGGTCAATATATTGTGTGATTATTTTTAATTTAAATAATTAAATTTCTGTATCAGATTACATTTTTATTAAATATTCTTATTAAGTATTTTGTAAAATAAATGGTCAATATGAATAAGTATTTACGATGTAAAATACTTTCGTGGATTAACATCCATTAAAATCGTATTATAAATACTAATTCAATAAATATTAGAAGATTATAAGATAACGTTAATTTAAATAAGAGTTTGATGAGAAAATGAATCGATAATTTTTTAGCATATAATTCTTATATTTCAGGAAAATTGGAATATATACATATGTATTCAAAGAGTCATGTTATGTTATGATATAGGTTAGACTCGAACGAAGTAGTAGCAAATTGATTTCCTCTCAGTGAAATCTTGTTGGAAGAACGTTACTTGGCGTTAATATAAACGCAAGCCGAATTCGAGGATATCTCTGAAAGCCGAAACTACGAACTAGCGAATTAAACGCGAGGACGAGGAGTAATAGTTTGTGGACTCGGCAAATTGGTGGGTGCCTTCGACCAAGCCGACGACCCAATTTAAATCAGGATATACGCACGTACTACACCCTAGTCTGGCACCCACACACGTCATATATTTCCGTAATGTAACCGGTCTAATCCCAATTTTCCTCGATCTCTACGACGAGCTTCTGGCTTCGCCTAATAGTTCTCTCCTACGAAGATACGAATGAGAGAAATAGAGACAGAGAGAAAAGTAGTGGGGTTAGGGAAAGGGTTTCTAGGTGTAGTCTTCTCTCTACAGTTAATTAGAGAAGTTGAATGACCTAGAGAGTCACGCTAGCATTAGTCTACACTCGATATGAACATGGAGTTTAATTTATGTAAGATAATTAGATACTTCAATATGTTGTTTTCATTTCCCCTTCAAAATTTTCTTCGATACATTTTGGGTTATTTTATTCTGCGATTAAATAATTGTTTTTGAAAAAAAAAGTAATAAAAATGATGTAGATCACCTTTTGATTTAATTTTCTTTTTTTTCTTTTTCAAAAGGGGAGGGGGGAATTTATTTTATTCAATGAGTTTTCAACAAAACTAACGAAATTAATTGGAAGTGCATTGATCGTTCTTAACTTCAAATAAAGCTTCTCCTCTTATGTAAATGTACGAAACTCGGTCCTTTAAATCCGAACT